TCCACTAAATAGAGCCCCAAACACAAACCAAACAACAACAAAAACCAAGGGAGGCGCAAGCCTGTGTCCCAGCTACTTAGGAGGCTGAGGCAGGAGCATTGCAAGTCCAAGGTCAGTCTGGGCAACTTAGCAAGACTCAAAAGCAAAATTAAAAAAAAAAAAAAAAAAAAGGGTCTGGGCATGTGGCTCAGTGGTAGAGCGCTTGTATAGCATCCTCAAGGCCCGGGTTCAGGGTTCAATTTCCCGTAATAAAAAATAAATTACAACTGAGGGAAAGTGTGACTATTTCCTTCTAGTGAAGTCAGAAGGGCCTGGGGATGGAGAGTGAATTATAAAGGGAAGCTGAATCCTTGATCTGTTCCTGAGAAACGGTGCAATTCAGACTGTTGTTGAAATTCTTCATATTTGAAGAAACTAAGGTAATATGGGCAGCTACAACATGGGAAATGTTTAATAACTTCATTATTTTTATATTTTTTTGAGATGGTGGTCTTGCTATTTTGCCCAGACTGGCCTCAAACTTCTGGGCTCAAGTGATCCTTCAGTTTCAGCCTCCTAGGCAGCTGGGACTATAGGTGTGTGGTTCATTCTAGCAACTTTGCTTAAATCTTATGCTTTAGGGTGGATTTACTCTGATGGGGGAAAAAATTCCTGGGTAAAGTTGGAAGTTGAGGATTAAACAAAATTCCAGCAAGGAATGATAAGGGTTCAAAAAGGTTAATAGGTTGCATAATAATTGAACTCAATAAGCACTGAAGTTTCTACTATATAAGTGACAGACACAAAGATAGACATGGTTCCCAACCTTATTAAAAAAAAAAAAAAGGAAATGGCAAATGATAAAAACTTTAGTCTTAAAAAAAATCAAGATCCAAATTAGCAACACTGCTTTATAGTCACTCAAAAATTGACAGCATTTTTCTGTGTCTTAGGAGGCAGCACAAATCCAGGCTTTCAAATCACTAAAACTCAAAATTGGTAGAGGGCTCACACTGTGGCTTCACTGTTACATTTAATTCACTTATGATTATTAGTTTTGGGTGGTACTGGGGGTTGAACCCAGGAACTCTTATATCCCAATCCTCCACCCCCCCTTTAAAAAAATGTTTATTAGTTGATAGACCTTTATTTTATTTATTTATATGTGGTGCTTAGAACCAGTGTCTCACACATTCGAGGCAAGTGCACTACCACTGAGCTACAATCCCTCTCTACCCAGCTTTTTGAGACAGGATCTTGCCAAATTATTGAGGTTGGCCTCCAATTTATTATGACCCTCCTGCCTTAGCCTCCTGAGTTAGCTGGGATTACAGGTGTGTGCCACTATGTGCGGCCAAAATAAAACACACAAGATCAGTTCTTTTGTATTACTTTGCTATTAGTGTTCTTAGTAGTTCTCAAAGTGTGGTCTGTGGACCAGACTGCTTGAGTATCATCTGAGAACTTGGTAGAAAAATCAGGGGCCTCATCCCAGACCTGCAGTCAAACCCAGGCTGAAGCCCCAAATCTGTGTTTTAACAACCTCCGTGGTTGCTCTGACGTGCGTTAATTTGGAGAGCCACTGGTCAAAGGCATAATAAGGTACAACCTAAGTCATCAACCCTGTGAGAATTTAAGGGGGAAAAGCCAATCGGTTGACTTTTGAAACAAACATGCATTATCCAAAGGAACCGAAAAAATATATACACAGAAAAACCTGCACATAGATGTTTATAGCAGATTAATAATAAGTTTGCAAGAAAATAAGATGTCCATCCATAGGTGAGTGGATAAACCAAGTACCATTGACAATGTAATATTATTCAGTGCTTAAAAAAAAAAAAAAGACCCTGAGACAATGTGGAGGAAACAGGAGTGGGAGAACACGTCTGTAGCCCCAGCCACTTGGGAAATTGAGAAAGGAAGATCACAAGTTTGATGCCAGGTATACAGCTCAGTAGTAAAGCTCTATTGGGCTAAATCCCCAATTCTGAAGGGGGGAAAAAAGAGAAAACTTAAATGCATGTTACTAAGAAGCCAATCTGAAAAGGACCACATACTATCACTCTGTGGCATTGTGAAAGACAGTATGGAGACAGTAAAAATATCAGTGGGATGGGCTTGGTGGCCCACCCCTGTAGTCCTAGCAGCTGGGGAGGCGCTGTCTCTTAAAAAAAGGTGGGGAGGTGGTCTGGTAGAAAACTCAGGGGCCTCATCCCAGACCTGCAGTCAAACCCAGGTTGAAGCCAAAAAAATATCTGTTTTAACAAGAACACTTCTGGTTCAATCTCTAGGACGAAACAACAAACAAACAACAACAACAAATCAGTGGCTGCCAAGGACTGGGAGAGGTGTAAACAGAGCACACTTTGGAGGTACTCAAAATAATGCTGATATGGTAATTGTGGATGCACACCATCGTACTTTTCTCTAAACCACAGAATATACATCAAGAATGACTTCCAACGTCAACTGTGGATTTGGGGTGATGTGTACAGTGACGGACTATAACTAGCACATCACTCTGTTGGGGTGCTGATGATGGAGGACTGTGCATGCATGGAAGGGCTACAGGGGACATTTTGTACCTTCAATGCAGTTTTGCATAAACCTAAACTGATCTGAAAAATAAAGTCTCAATAAAAAAAAACAGAACTAAGTTTTCTTGAGAGAGGATTTTAGAAAGATAAAAATCTGAAAATTATCTACGGCTTTTTATTTGTTTTAAACAGTAAGAGAACTGAAAAGAGAACTGACCTTTTTAAAGTATGAGTTTATTTTCTAGGTTTTTTTTAATACCCACAAATTTGTATTTTTATTGCTGCTATATTCAGAAGCTAAAAACAATTAAAAACATGTACCTTTATAATGCTTTTAACACCTACATAGAATGGAACTATATAAATTTTAAATTATGCTTCTCAATGATTCAATAATAAACATATGGAAAATAAAGGTAATTACAGAAAGAGCTACTGGATTTTAAAACATTATTTGGAAATGTAAGGTAACTCATTTAAAAAAAAAAAGCTCATCACCTGCCTGCTAGTTAATAAATTACTGAAAATTATCATGAATCAAGTACAATCTTCCTCGTATCTAAAAGAAAGTAGTTCTGACCTCTCATAAACTTTTAGGTCTGAAGTGTAAACAGGATTTATGTAGCTTTTGAACATCTCAAATTTTGAATACCTTATAATAATGCAATATTTATTTAAGACTAAGAAACTGGTAAATAATAAGTCCTCTTGATTAATTTTTGAAAAGGGCAATAAATGAATGAGATTGAGATTTGGTCACCAGGACAGTTACAAATGGCACCAAATCATAGTCCATGAAGAGCCTAGTTTGAGAGTATGTTTAATGAAGACCAAAGATGAATATTCGGGATCTTTATAGTATCATTTAGCCAATCTAGGTTTGGCAGGCCCAGAGGTGATGAGTCTTGAGAAAGCTGAAGTTAACAAGATGCTAGATTCACATTAGCTCCAACTTCACTCACAAATCAACAATGCAAAATGACTTTTTCTATCCTTTTCATTCAAAAGAAAATTAGAACCATATTATTATTGCTGGTGTGAGCTTCTGTTTCTAAACTTGCCATCATTTTGGTTAGTTTTTTAAAGATAAGTGAGAGCAGATGTTGATGCTATTAATGTGACCAGTGCATTAAATTTCACAATAAAAATTAGATTACTCTATAAGTCATTATTCACAATGACTCAGGACATAAATATTACAAAGGTCCCACAACTGTCCCAAGCCCTGGGATCATGAAATAGGATAATTTAGTGACCATTAAATGGGAAATTATGAGAAATGTCATTTCTAGAATGTAGTTTTTCTTTCATTTGGGTTTTTAAAAATAAGTAGACCTCACACTTTCTTCATTTAAACCTCATTTTCAGTAACTTTCTGATGGTGTTCATTTTCACATTTTCTTTGAAATAAATCAAGTTTTTAAAAAAAGTCCAAATTTTGCTCATAGTAATTGATTTCAAATGTTTCTTTTGACAGTAGTTTTTAATTCTGTGGGGGAAAAAAATTGACAATACCATTTTCTATGAGGGTGGCCTGAAAGTATTTGTCATTTTCTAAGCATGAAAAAAAAAAATTAGATTATCCTGAATCATATAATGGAACTGAAGCTCCTAAAGAGATAGTGAATTTGTAATATTAATGACATAATTAGACCTATAAATAAAAGCCATAAGGAAGACTTATAAAAATGACTGCTACTTTTAAGTCCATACAAAGAAGGTGGTGGCAGAGGACAAAAAAAAAAAAAAAAAAAAGAAAAAAAAATCACTACCCTTACATAGGATAAACCCAGCAGCCCGTGTTACCAAGAGGTCACTTGGTATTGTTAAATAAGTGGTCAAGGGAAGAGAGATAAAAATAAGCAAATTACTGTGATTGAAAACAGTCTGATTAAAGAAAAAAATGCCCACCATATCACTCCATCCATCTAGGGACTTCCTGCCATGATACCAAATCAATGCCAATACAAATCAAAACTCTATCCCAAATGTTCTTGTGTGCCCTAGGCAACGTTCTCAATATAAGTCACTGATAGCTTCACAATAATTTAACATTTGGGTATGAACATCTGGGTATGAATATACACACCTGTAATTCTAGCTACTTCGGAGGCTGAGGCAGGAGGAAGGCAAGTTTGAGGCCAGCATGGGCAACCTGACAAGACCCTATCTCAAAGAAATTAAAAAAAAAAATGGCTGGTGGCTGGGGACATAGCTTATAGYTTAGTGGCAGAACACTTGCCTAGCATGTGCAAGGTCCTGAGTTCAATTTTCTGTAGTGCAAAAAATAAAAAATTTAAAAAAATAAAGGACCCAAAACAAAAACTGCTTGTCAATGGGCTGAGGATGTAGCTCAGTGGCAGAGCACTTGGCTAGCATGCCCAAGGCCCTGGGTTCAGTGCCCAGCACCAAAACAACAACAACAACAAAACACTTATCAAATCACTTCCCACAAATCATTTAGAAGCAGAGGTAACCATAGAAAGTAAACACACATATACCGCTTTTATTATTATATAGTTGTTAGTTGAATGAAAACAAATAGCTAAAAAGTTTTCCAGTGATAGAAAAACATACTTGGGTAAGTTATGGCACAATTTTTTGTGTATTCAGACAACAGAAATGTGTATTTTTGCACCAACTGCAAATGCAGAATTAATGAAACTAGGGAAATGAAAGGTCAAAAGGAGCCTCAAACACATCCACTATTTTAAGATTTTAGATAAAGAAGCAGAGAATAGAAAAAAAAAATAAAAAAGAAAGAAACCAACATATACACCATGATAACAGTCTTTTTTTTTTTTTTAATGACTTCCTATTTCATCTCTTTTCTAAAAGCATTGGGACCCTTATTGTAGATTATGTATCATCTCCTCTTTGGCTATAAGGTGTGTAGTTTTGTTAACCAGAGACATCAATGAGTTCAGTTTCTGAGACCAGTCATTTAATAAATTATTGGGATCCTTGGGTCTCTGGAAGTTGATGATTCCTGCCAACCTATCTACTTTAGCAAAGATGGTCTTGTTAACTACTAGATTCGAGAGAAAAGCCTCTGACTCCTGCAAGAAAAAGACAAATTGAATTAAGACAGAATAATTACACATGATAAAGAAAACATAAGGAAAGCATTTTTTAAATTCTCCATCCAAGAACATACAAGGCTAAAATCCATTACTAATAGCAATTGCTGACTATAAAATGATAATGTACTTATCCTAACTAATGTACTTATTGTATGACAGTCAAAGGTATGAAGGAAACCTCAGTCTCTAGGGGGTCAGGGCTGAGTCGAATGTGCATTTCTCCAGACTCAACCACTGGTGCAGGGGACCAGAGCCTTGGCAAAACACGTGTCAGTTAATTTCCTTCTCTCTGTTTCCCCTTGAAAGGCACTCTGGTATAGCTTGTTGCCAGTGTAGAATTCATGCTCTACCATCTGGCACATAGCCATGGGTAAGACATTTTGCTTCTAAGACTCTAGTATCCTCATCTGTGAGAACTGTTCCCCGATTTTCCTACAGAATGGGCTTTCCAGAAGGTCACACACTGCTGGGTTTTTGTGTTCATTCTGTCAACACGAAACACAAACCTGAAGGCAGTGCTCCTATAAAAGCCCTTTTCAGGTGAACTTCCTCAGTTTTTTTTTTGAGTCTTCCTCAGTTTTTTTTTTTTTTTTTTTAGGTGCTTAGGATCGAACCCAGGGACGTGTGCATACTAGGAGAGTGCTCTACCACTGAGCTGCAGCCACAGCCCCTCCTCACATATTCTATTGATGCAGTTCATTTTTGTGGAAACCTAAACATATTTATTATATATATATGTCAGACTTCAAATTAGTCAATGTAAAATTAATATTTAAGTGAAGGATTTTTTGGGGGGGAGGGAAGTGATAAGGAGTATTTTGGGGATTGAGCCCAGACCACTGAACCATAACCCCGGTCTATTAAGTGATGTGAGCCACATCCCCAACCTTTTTTATTTTTTACTTTTGATGCTATTTTAATTAGCATACATAATATCAGTAAAAAATTATTACTTAGGCTATTTTTTGGTACTCAAGCTTGAGAAACTTTCTATCACTAAAACTTACAATTAATAAAAAACCAAAATTCTTTGTTTACTACTTACATCAACAGACAGATCGAGAAGTTGTGCCATCCTTTTCATTGTTATCCGAGTATAATATTTGGCCATTATTCTAATATTCTGGTACAGGACAGAGGGCAGGGAACACATAACAGCTGTTAGTAAGACTGAAAGTCCATTCATTTTCATATCCAAATTAATTAAAATTTCAGACTCAAAGCTTTTATTTTTATATAACCTGCCACCAGAAGGAGGCTGGTTCTAAACTTCAAAAACAAAAATAAATGTGGACATACTTTGATTTCTGTAGTTATCTGAGAACTATTGAGTACTTTACACAATTCTTTAAATATAGTTAAAATCTATGCTTGTTTTTAACTAAATTAGTGATTAAAAAATGATCAGAGAGCATCTTAGAATACTTTACCTACTTAAAGGTAACTTTCAAGTTTTCTAATTTCTGTGGAAATGACACTGGAGTTAAGACATAAAGACTCCCAGTTATTAATATCAGTGTTCTTAATAAAACACCAACACTTGCAAGGAAAAATTAGGCAGAGTGGAGAGCAGAATGGACTCATCTCGAAGCAGCCGAACCTGCACCTGTACCAGGGCTGACAGTGACATTGACCTCCCTGGAAGCCAAGCTGCACTTTAGGCCCCATCTTTCCCATCACCCTTTATTTGCACCAGTGGCCACATTCTCTCTCTTCTCTTCCTTAAAAAAACTCCATACCATCTTCATTCACATCCATATAGCCCTTGATTTAACTAACCTTCTCATCTTCAGTAATTTTTTTTTTTTTTTTGTGGAAGTGGGGATTGTAGGATCTTACTGGGGGTGCCCTACCACTGAGCCACATCCCCAACCTTTTTTATTTTTTACTTTGAGATAATGTCTCACTAGGCTATCCACACTGGCCTCAAACTTTTTGATCCTCCTAACTTAGCTTCCTGAGTAGCTGGGGTTACAGATTTGTGTCATGGTGCCCAACTTCTAATTTTGTTATCTTTAAGCCCAATCTCCATATGCACAGAGGGACTCTGAAAATATAAGCCTGGATACTTTTTTTTGTGTGTGGTGCTGAGGATTGAACCCAGGGCCTTGTGCATGCAAGGCAAGCACTCTACCAACTGAGCTATACCCCAGCCCCCTGGACATTATATTCTTACTTAAAAGTTTTCACTACTTGAGTGTATAAATGTGCATGATCCAGACCCTTCCCACACCTCCTTCCTTCCAAAAGCCCTGATGTCCCTGTACTTTTGCTCAGACCATCTCGTCTGCTTAAATAGCTACTTTCCCTTGTTTCATAATCACCTCTTCCTTTGTAAATCTTACCACACTCATTAATTTGTATGTTATCTAGTGTGACCCTTCCTCAAGGTAGAACCAGTCAATTTTCTCCTTATGCCCCAATTGACTTGCTACATACTTTTACTATAATATCTTAATGTTTTTACTTATAAATATTTATTTAAACTTTTAAGAAGCTTCTTCCCATCCCACCCACTGGTACTGGGTATCTCTACCACTGAGCCTCATACCTAAGCCTTTTTAAATTTTATTTTGTGAGAGAAACTTGCTAAGCTGCAGAGGCTGGCCTCAAACTTGTGATCCTCCTGCCCCAGCCTCCTGAGATGCTGGGGTTACAAGGATGAACTACCATGCCCAACTGACTTCTAAGCTTCCTGATGTAGGGGATGGTATTCTTTTTAGAGACAAAATTGCACTGAGCTGCTCAGAGCTGAGGTTGGCTTTTTTTTTTTTTTTGGTATGTGGTGCTGAGGATGGCTTTGAACTTGTGATCCTCCTGCCTTAGCCTCCCCAGTCGCTGGGATTACAGGCATGTGCCACGACACCTGGCTGGGGATGGTATCTTATTCTCCTATGTGCCCCAACACTTTGTATTGTATCTGGAACATAGACGGCTCAAAAGAATATTTCTTATGTGAATGAATCAATATTGACACAATTCTGTGAAGATCAAAGTTCAATTTTAAGACCTATTACCCATTTTCAAGATGAGCAAGTAAGTATTAGAGTAAAAACATCTCTTTCCCCCATTCTTAGGAAATGCCTTCTGGTGTTTGTTTTTTGAAACAGGGTCTTGCTATGCTGCCCAGGCTGGGCTCGAACCTGTGATCCTCCTGCTCCAGTATCCTGAATAACTGGGATTATAGGTGTGTTCTACCATACTCAACTCTTTCTGGTTTATACACTATAAAATTTTGTCTTCCTCAAATAAAACATTCTAAAATACAATTACCTTTTCTGAAAAGCCAAAAATAAGAGGAAAAAARAAAAGATAAGATAGAGGAGTTAAGCTCTGACACACTATGGGAAATACAGAGCACACATCTAAACAATAAACTTTATACATTACTACTACCTAGGGCATAAAGGGGAAACAAATCCTAAGGTGAAGAATTAAAAACATAACATCCTACTAATTAGAATTAAAAAAAATCCTGAAGAATCATTTGATTACCAAATTTAAAAACTAATATTTTAGCTGAGCATGGTGGGGCATGCCTATAATCCCAGAGGCTCGGGAGACTGAGACAAGAGGATCACAAGTTCAAAGCCAGCTTCAGCAAAAGCAAGGTGCTAAGCAACTCAGTGAGATCCTATCTCTAAATTAAATACAAAACAGGGCTGGAGATGTGACCCGGTGGTTGAATGCCCCTGAGTTCAAAAGAAAAAAAGTTTAGCCAGGTGTAATTGCACATGCCTATAATCCCAGGAGGCTTAGGGAGGAGGAGGCAGGAGGATCACAAGTTCAAGGCCTTCCTTAGCAATTTAGTGAGGCCCCAAATAACTTAAGACCCTGTCTCAAAATTTTTAAAAATTATTTTCTTAAAAAAGTGCAGGGGTAGAGGATGTAGCTCAGTGGTAAAGTGCTCCTGAGTTCAATCCCCAATACTTTGAAGGAAAAAAAAACCCATGGTGGCATGCACCTGAAATTCCAGCTACTTGAGAAGCCAAAGCAGGAGGATTGAGTGTTTGTGATGCCAGTCTTGACAACACAGCAAGACTGTCATCAAAAAAGAAAGAAAAAATTTAAGTGGTATGGTGTTTGCCAAGTGGCTTGGAGGCCAAGGAAGAAGGATCACAAGTTCAATGCCAACCAATGAAAAATAAAAAGGGTAGGACATGGCTCAGTGATAAAACACCTCTGGGTTCAATCCCAAGATGATGCAGAAAAGTAAATTCACTAGTTGAAGGTTAAAATAAAAACTGGCATCTCTATCATGCATATTCTTACATGTTCAACAACTCTGTTCTTCAAGTCTTTCCACCTTTTTTCACCTTCTTCTGTAGAAGCAAAAACATCAGTTGCAGGACTCTCAAGGGAACCTTTCCTTAATTCCATCCCATAGTCTTCAACAAGTGTGGACCAACGCATCAACTCCATTGTAGTAAAAAGCTTTAAAAGATCCCTGTGAATTATAGAAAATTTAATATTCTAAATCCATCAAAATGAAGGTTTACCATCCCCAATCCAAAAATCCAGAATCCAAAATGCTCCAAAGTCTGAGATCTTCTGAGACCTGACATGATGCCATAATTAGAAATTCTAAACTTGATTTCATATATTTGAAGGCAGGTTGTGATAATTTTAAAATGCCGAACTTATGTGTGAATAAGTGTAAGAAAATGATTGATTTTTGGTAGTACAAAAAGTCACAGGAAAAATGGTGTGACAGTGTCACTTTTGCTTTCTGATGGTTCAATATACATAAACTTTGTTTCATATACAAAACTATTAAAAATATTGTATGAGCCAGGCATGGTGGCACACACCTGTAATGCCAATGACTCAGGAGGCTAGGTCAGGAAAGTCACAAGTTCAAGGCCAGCCTTAGCAACTTAGCTAGACCCAGTCCCCCCCACCCCAATAAAAAGAGCTAGGGATTTAGCTCAGTGATAAAGTGCCCCTGATTTYAATCTCCAGTATCCCACCAAAAAGTGTGAGTTTAAGGGCTGGGATTTTGGCTTGGTGGCAGAGCACTTGCCTTGTGGGTGTGAGGTACTGGGTTCGATCCTCAGCACCACATAAAAATAAATAAGTAAAAATATTGGGTTCATCTACAACTAAAAAAATATTTAAAAAGTATGAGTTTAACATACTCAAATCAATAGATGTAATTAATTAATCATATAAATAGRATTAAGAATTAAAATGACACAACCATCTTAATAGATGCAGGGAAAGACTTCAACAAAATTCACCACCAACTCATGATAAAAAACACTGAAGAAACTAGGGATAAAAGAAACCTACCTCAATGTTATATGACAAATTGAAAGCCACATCACAATGAATGGGGAAAAGCCAAAAGTACTTCCTCTAAAATCGGAATAAGACAGGACATTCACTCTTACCACTCCTATTCAATATAACACTAAAAATTCTAGCCAGAGCCAGCACAGAAGTGCACACCTGTAATCCCAGTGACTCAGGAAGTTGAAGCAGGAGGATCTTAAATTTAAGACCTGCCCTCAGCAACTTACTGAGACCCAGTCTCAAAAAAAAGAAAAATAGAAAGAAATTCTAGCCAGAGCAATTAGGCAAGAGAAGAAAATAAAAAGAATAAAAACAGGAAAGGAAGAAGTCAAATTATCACTGCTTGTAGATGATATATATGRTCCTACACTCAGAAGATCTAAAAACCTCCACCAGAAGGCTACTAGAGCTAAATAACAAATTTAACAAAATAGCAGATACAAAATCAACATACAAAAATCAATAGCTTTCCTATATACCAGAAATGAAGATGTTGAGACAACCTAGGAATAAATTTAATCAAGGAGGTGAAAGACATGTACAATAAACACTATAGAACACTGAAGAAATTAAAGAACACAATAGAAGATGGAAAGAACTCCCATGTTTATGGATAGGCAGAATTAAGATTATTAAAATGGCCATATTACCAAAAATACAGATTCAATGCAATCCCCAATGACATTTTTTAGAGTTTGGGGAAAAAAACAGTCCTAATATTCATGGAAGAATAAAAGACCCAGAATAGCCAAAGCAATTCTAAGCAAAAGAAAACAAAACAAAAATGATATTGGAGGCATCACATTACATGACTTCAAATTATACTACAGAGCTAAAGTAATAAAAACTACTGGCATAAAAATAGACATAGAGTGTGAAACAGAAAAGATGACGACACAGAGACAAACCCACACAGATACAGTAATCCTTGACAAAGGTGCCAAAAATATGTTGGCAAAAAAGATAGCCCGTTTAACAAATGGTGCTAGGAAAACAAGCTATCCATATGGAAAAGGATGAGACTATATCCTTCTCTCTCATCCTGAGCAAAGAATTAATTCAAAGACCTAGGAATTAATCCAGGAACTTTCCAGCTCCTACAAGAAAATGGAAGGTCAATATTCCAACACACAGGTGGAGACAAGGATTCTTTAAAAATCTTTGCTAACTACTCTTCCAAAAGAGGATTAATAACCAGGATGTATAAAGAACTCAAACTTCCAACAAAAAACCCAAATAACCTAATCAGTAAATGGGCAAATGAATTTTTTTTTTAAAGAGAGAGAATTTTTTTAATATTTATTTTTTAGTTTTCAGAGGACACAACATCTTTGTTTGTATGTGGTGCTGAGGATCAAACCCACACGTGCCAGGCAAGTGCGCTACCACTTGAGCCATATCCCCAGCCCCTGGGCAAATGAATTGAACAGACACTTCGCTAAGGAAGAAATACAAATGGATAAAAAACATATAAAAATATCCTAAACATCTTTATCAATCAGGGAAATGTAAATCAAAACTGCACTAAGATTCCATCTCACTCCAGTTACAAAGGCACCATCAAGCATACAAATAATAAACTCGGTGTGGTGGTGCACGCCTGTAAATCCCAGTCACTTAGGAGGTTGGGCAGGAGGATCACAAGCTCAAGGGCAGTCTTGCAACTTAGTGAGATCTTGCCTTAAAAATTAAAAAAGGCCTGGGCATATAGCTCAGTGATAATGCGCCGCAGGTTCAATCCCTAGTACCAAAAGCAAAAAAAAAAAAAAAAAAAAAGAGGGCTGGGGCTGTGGCTCGGTGGTAGAGCACTTGCCTAGGACACATGAGGCACTGGGTTTGATTCTCAGCACCACATAAAAATAAATAAATAAAATAAAGATATTGTGTCCATCTACGACTAAAAAAAATTAAAAAAAAAGAAAAGAAAAAGAATATGAACAATAATAAATGATGGAGAGGATATGGAAAAAAAAAGGAACACTTACACTGTTGGTAGAATTGTAAATTATTACAATCACTATGGAAATCAGTGTGAAGTTTCCTCAATAGAATAGGAAAGGAAGCCAGGCATGATACATGCACACCTATAATCCTAGCTTGCTTGCAAGGCTAAGATAAGATGATTCCAAGTTCAAGGCCAGCCTTAGCAGCTTAGTGAGACCCTGTCTCAAAATAAAAATAAAAACAGTGGGGATGGGGCTGTAGATCAGTGGCAGGGTGCTTGCGTAGCATGTGTGAGGCACTGGGTTCCATCCTCTCAGCCCAACATAAAAATAAACAACAAAAAAAAAAGGCATTCTGTCCATCTTCAACTAAAAAAAAAATTAAAAAATAAATGAAATAAATAAATAAAGAAAGAAACAAAGACAAGACTAGGAATGGAACTATCACATGACCCAGACACACCACTCCTCAATGTCTATCCTAAAGAATTAAAGTCATTATACCACAATGATTCATGTACACCATATTTATAGCAGCACAATTCATAATAGCCAAACTATGGAACCAGCCTTGGACTCTAGGTGTCCATTAACAGAGAAATGGATAAAGAAAATGTGTATATATGCAATGGAATTTTATTTAGTCATAAAGAATAAAATTATGCCATTTGGAGGCAAGTGGATGGCACACTTAAGAGCTTTATGTTAAGCAAAATAAGCCAAACTCAAAAAGTCAAGAGTTCTATGTTCTCTCTCATATGTGGAACTTAGAGAAGAAAAAGGGAAAAAAGGCAGTGATATGGACTCATGAAAATGGAAGGGAAAACAGCAGAGTAAAGGGAGCAGGGAAAGGGAGAAGGGGARGGAAAGAGGAAATACTAGGGAATGACAAGGACCAAATTATATTCTGATAACAAATGCATGTATGAATATGTAACAATGAGTCCATTATGTATAGTTATAGAAAATAATATACAAAATAGAAAACAAGGGAAAAACACTGTTGAAATTACGTTCAGGCTATGTTTATGAGGTATACATGAAACAAGCAAATTTTGTGTTTAGACTTGGTTCCCATCCCCAAGATATCACACTGTGTATATGTAGATATTTCAAAAACAAAAAACTCTTGAAATCAGAAAGCATACCTGTTTTACATGACAGATTATCAAAACTGTGTTTTTTGGTACTGGAGATTAAACCCAGGACACTTTATTACTGAGATATACCCCCAGGCCTTTTTAAAAAAAATTATTTATTTATTTTTTAGTTTTTGGCAGACACAACATCTTTATTTTTATGTGGTGCTGAGGATTGAACCCAGTGCCGCGCGCATGCCAGGCGAGCACGCTACCGCTTGAGCCACATCCCCAGCCACCCCCAGGCCTTTTTATTTTTTATTTTGAGATAGTTCTCGGTAAATTGCAGAATCTGGCCTTGAACTCCAATCCTGCCTTAGCCTCCTGAGTCTCTGGGATTACAGGTGTGTGTAGGCTGAATTTGGAAATAGTTCCGATCTCAAGCATTTCAGATAAAGAATTTTTATCGTGCATAATAGCAAACTTCAAAAAGTCAACAGTTTTTATACCTTTCTATTTAGTAAAAGAAAACAAATTTAGGGCTTGGGTCGTGGCTCAGTGGTAGAGCACTCACCTAGCACATGTGAGGCCCTGGGTTCGATCCTCAGCACCACATAAAAGTAAATAAAATAAAGGTATTGTGTCCAACTACAACTAAAAAATAAATATTAAAAAAAAGAAGACAAATTGATTGCTAGTCAACTGATTTTACTATCACTTTGCCCATAATTCCAAAAAAAGCATTGCCCTACTTAACATTCTGCTCTCTCCTGTCAATCTCTGAAATAACTGTAAACACACTAATGAAGCAGATTAAAAAAAAAAAAAAAAAAAAAAAAAAAAACCTCTTAAAACATAAAAACCCATCATGCTTATTGTGAGCATATCTGTTTTACATGACAGATTATAAGAAGTGTGTACTTCCAAAAAATACAAGTCCTGGACTATTAACAATAAATTTATAAAAGAGCTAATTAGCTGCTCAAATTGGCTTGATACAAAACTTCTAAATAAGTAGTTCAGAATAAACTGTTATAATCTCATTATGTTAATTTCTAATGCAATACTAAAAACACCTCACCACTTAATTCTAGTTTCCACATATAAGGGAACATAGAACCCTTGACTGTGAGTTTAGCTTATTTTATTTAACATAATGCTCTAGTACAATCTATGAGCAATCGATTAAGGAGTGTACACTCAGGTGAGACAATTTTCTTTCAAAATGTTTTTTCTAATGAGACATACTATGCTAATTACAAAAGCACTTACTTGTACTTGGGAATTTCTTCTAACTTCTTGTCACCACTTATTCGATGAACCAAATCTGACTGTTCATTGTCAAAGGGAGCCAGGATAACATAGAGAACAACACTTTTCAGAGCCTAAAAACGTTAAACAACACAACAGATTATATTCAAGACTAAAAACGTAATGGAAACTTTGGCAAGAACTGAAAAATTATGGAATGATTATACATATTAATTTTAAATTTTGAACTCCAAAAGTACTAGGGGGAGCCAGGCCCAGTGGCACATGCCTATAATCCCAGCGACTGAGCAGGCTGAGTCAGGAGGATCTCAAATTCCTCAAATTCAAGGCTAGCTTCAGTAATTTAGCAGCGCCTTAGGCAACTTAGCAATATGTGATCTCGAAATGAAAAATAAAATTAAAAAGGGATAAGGATGTGGCTCAGTGGTTAAGCACTGGGGAATTCAATCCCTGGTACAAAAAAAAAAAAAAAGCATTAGGGGAAAAAAACCTTACCAGGCTGCATTTTTTATTTCTTTCTGGAATATTTAGTTTTTATAAATCCATTAAGATAAATATTTGCTACTTCTAATTTAAATTACTACCTTGACTAACATTTTTTAAAACTTTTTTTTTTTTTTTTTTTAATGTGCTGGAGATCGAATCCAGTGCCTCATGAGCTAGGCAAGCACTCCACCAGTAAGCCACAACCCCCAAAACATTCATTTTTGACAAAGGTATACAGGAAAAGTTCTTACAATAAGCTGGCAGCATAAACACAGAATATACACATAAGCTACTTTGTAAATGAACTTTCCAAAGTAATACTGAATCTTATTTGTGATCTTTGTTAGCAGGTGACCAGCTGTACATAAAAAACATTAAACTGGATACCATGGTGCACACCTATAATCTCAGCAACTCAGGAGGCTGGGGCAGGAGAATCCCAAGTTCAAGGGTAAGCCTAAGCAAGGAGACCCTCTCTCAAAATGAAAACTAAGGACAGGGGACACAGCTCAGTGGCGGAGACCCTGGGTTCAACTTCCAGTGCTACAAAACAAAACAAAAAATTAAGCCTACATATCTTCAAAAGTGATATGTAATTTAAATTATTGCCCAACTAGTCTTATACAGTAAGGATATACTAAATAGAAAGAAGCACTAAATTACTACAGTTACAATGTTTTGAAACAAGAAGATCCAAGATCTTCTAACTAACAAGTATCAGTGTCAATTATTAGAATATCTTACCTGTTGCCACTTTTCGCTTTCTGCCTGTATACAGGGAGTATCATATATTGCTCTGTAGTGCTTACAAATAGACAAATAGGATCCCTCATGCTGATCCAGTTGAATCATTAAATTATAGTATTTCAACTTTAATTTCTGAAAAAAAAGTTGACAAAATAAATTGGGGTTCATGGGTCTTATTCAAACTCTGTTAAAATAAACACACAGTCACAAATATGCTCACCTCTGTGTTTTCTTCCTGGAAAAATTTGGTGTTAATTTTCTTGCTGATAATTTGTGTCCGAATATAATCCTTTACGGCAAGGCAGAGCCTCATTTGCTCCAGAATAAATTCCACTCGCTCTTTTTTTTCCATTGACCCATAGGTTTCCACCTAGCAGAATAATTCCCCAAATAATATTAGTTGCAACAAAATTAAAAAGGCCACTGTCAAATAAGAATCTTCATGAACATACAGTAATGACAATTAAATAAAAAGGGATGGAGATATAGCTCAATGGTAGAGCACCCTTGGGATCAATCTTCAGTACTGAGGGGAAAAAATGATTTACACCATACAATGTAAAGAATAAATCAGATTAAACACGATGAAAAATGTTTCTGATATAGTATTTGGTGTATAAATTCATAAAGTCCAGGATGACACACAGACAAGAAAGAATGAAGGCTATTATTATTTTATTTTGATCTGAAAATGTTTTCACCATCTTTGTTGTTTATTTAGGAAAATTATAAATACACAAAATGACCACTGATGTTTCATTTACACAACTTTACATACTCTCCACATGTCAATTACTTTGAAGCAAATCTTGTTTAACATATTACATGCAAATTCAGTATGTATCTCTAAAAGATAAATTTTTTTGGGAAAAAAGACCATATAGAAACATTCCTTGTATCACCAAGAATCTAGTCATTCTCTAAGTCTCATGTATTTTAAAAGGTGAATTAGAATCCAAATAGATTCACATGTAATTGGTAGCTATATTTTTCTTTTTTTCATTGTCATTTACTTGATGAAGAAATCAAGTTAATCATGCTATCCTTTATAAAAGTATACACAGAGTCTAGATATTGCTGACTACTTCCCTGTGGTATCATATCCATTCTGTGAACTGATAGTTAAACCTAGAAGCTTTTAGGGGAGGTTTGAGATTTTTGTGGGCAAGACTGTTTCAGAGAGGAAGTTTGGATTATGTTATCACATGACTTTCCTGGTTGAAAAATAGAACCTGGAAGCAAAACAAAACAAAAAAACCCTCAGTGGTTGCCAAGGTCTGGGGAAGGAAGGGATGAACAGGAAGAGCACAGATTCATAGGACAAAGAACCTATGCTGAATGATATAACCATAAGTGGTATGTGGCATATATTTCTGAAAACCCACAGAAAATGCAACACCAAATATGAACGCTAATGTAAAATATGGACTTGGGTATGATAATGATGAGTCAATGCCTCAAAATAAAAAATACAAAGGGCTAGGGACACAGCTCAGTGGTAAAGTGCCCCTGGGTTCAATTCCCAGTACTAGGAATGGACAGACAGGGACAGGACACAAACACACACACACACCTAAAAAACCAATTTGGTTCAGAAATTTATCAGATATCAAACATTCATTAAGAATAAAAAAAAATGAACCAGGTGTGATGATACACACCTGTAATCCCAGTGACATGGGAGGCTGAGATAGGAGGATTCCAAGTTTGAGACCAGCCTTAGCAATTTATTGAGGCCCTAAGCAACTGAGTGAGACCCTGTCTCAAACAAACAAACAAACAAACAAACAAACAAACAAAAAAAAACCCCAAACCAAACAACAATACCATATTCCTAAGGCATAAGTAAACAGTGCATGAATTAATCATTTTTTCTTTTCTTGGTACTAGGGATTTAACCCAGAGGCATTTTACCCCTGAGCCACATGCCTATGTGGCTTTTTATTTTTAGACAGGACCTCACTAAGCTGYTGAAGCTGGCCCTGAACTTGCAATCCTCCTACCTCAGCCTCCAGAGTTGCTGGGATTATAGGTGCATGCCAATGTGCCGGTATATTACTTATTTTATTTCAATTCCAAAGACAATTAAAATGTTCAAATAATGGCTCATGCGCGCGCGCGCACACACACACACACACACACACACACACACACACACACACACACAATCAAGGTAAATGTGTTTGTCCTAACTTTTCTTCAAAACTGTTTTAGAAGTTAAACGTAGTTGGTCTATTATATTATATAGTTTCCAGCGGCCTGAATAACCTCCCCCTGTTGCAGTCTTACTCTTGGTGGTTCAACAAAGTGATGAGGCATCAGTCAGCTACTTCCACAAGACACTGGTAACTCAACAACTTGCTTTACAAACTCCAAATTGCAGCACCTTACCTGTAATTCTTGTAAAATGGAGGCTGCCTCTTTCACGTCACCATTTTGCTCTTTTATAGTTGCTAATGTTTTAGTCAGTCGAGCACGCTCAATTTCAACATAAATCTAGAGATAAAAGAAATTTATGTTATCAAAATTTCTGTAGAAAAGTGTTAAATTTATTTAGTTTTGCTTTCTATTTTTTGCAGCATTGGGGATGGAACCAAGGGCCTCACACATGCCAAACAAATGCTCTACCACAAAGCTACACCCCCAGTCAAAATGTGTTAAAATTTAAAAGGTATGGGCTGGGGATGTGGCTCAAGCGGTAACGCGCTTGCCTGGCATGCGCACGGCACTGGGTTCGATCCTCAGCACCACATACAAATAAAGATGTGTCCGCCGAAAACTAAACAATAAATATTAAAAAATTCTCTCTCTCTCTTAAAAAAAAATTTAAAAGGAATAATTAAACTATTATTATGTATAGGAGTACTTATCTTACTGCTGTTGTGCACTCTATCTGCCATGTATATATTTCATAAATACAATTTTAAAGAAAATGTCTCTATGAAACATTATCTATATTTTTCAGTTTTGCTTTCAGAATGTAAATGTGAAATGAGTATGTTTTAACAAATAATAGGACCATAAGCTATATAAATGGCACAAAAAAATGAAAAGTGGCTTTAAAAGAATTGATTATTTCAAAAATAACATACTTCATAAAGAGGAAATGCAGTTCAATGTCTACAATTCCACAATTCCATCATTGCTCAAAGTCTGATTTATCTATTTATCTTTTCTTTTCTTTTTTTTTTTTTGGTGCTGAGGACTGAACTCAGGACATCATGCAAGCTAAGTATGTGCTATACCACTGAGCTACACCTCCAACTCAATTCATCTTTATATATAAGACTACTTTAAAAATATCTGATCTTGCTAAGTATTAAAGTTGTTGGCACTTTTTGTAAATATATCTAACATTAGCAGACTTATAATTTCTAAGAAATTAAACATTAAAAACTTAACTATAACCTAAAGAGTCTACTGAATGAATCTAGACACTCTACAGCAACCCCTTCCATCCCCCACTCCCTAAAACCTTAATTTCCAATAATATTGAAGTACTTAAAGTTTCCTAATTATACCATGTGCTTCTTACTTAGGTACCTTTGTATATCATTTCCCCCATGTCTAACATACCCTACTCCCCACACCCTGGCCCTATATATTTTCTATTCATTTTTAAAAAGTTACATAAAATTTGGACTAAGTTCACTAATTCCTAGAAAAATCCGGTCTTACTAAGACTGATACTATTTAAATATATTCATTTGCATTTGAGAAGATACTAGAAAAGAATGTACAAAAATAATAACAGCTGTATTAAGCTGATACCATTTTATGAATTTCTTATAAAAATAAACATACACCCATAGATACTTAAAACTCACCTTTCCTTCTGTAACCATTCGGAGAGTATCGATTAATCGAAGTTTGACTGGGAGGTCTGTGATTTCTTCAACATAAGTACAGCACTGTTGAACCATTTTTGCAACAGCCTAAAATATTAAAATTTATTCATAAGTAAAATTCATCCCTCATACAGGGAAAAAATGTATTCTAATGATGGAAAGGCTAAATGTCTAAATTTGGTCAAATTTGATCTTCCCAAGAGGTTACTCTAGATACTGAAATGCCTATAAAAAACATTAAATCACATCAAAACCTTTGATACCTAAGAAGTACTGAATATCTAGGCACAAATCATAAAGTTTAGAAAATCTCAGATGCAAAGATGCAGCTTAGCAGAAAAGCATGAAAAACATGGTAGCAGACTGAAGGGGGAAAAAAGGGATGAGAAAAGAAGAGTTCCACAGTGGCTGGAAGTCCTGAGCAGCAGACACTGTGATGGAAGACAAGAGTCAGTGCATGAGTAGAAGGTAAAGAGTTCCATCCTCTGGGTGAGAAGGAGTCAGTCACCCATACTCGCCTCAGTAAAATACGGCACTCATAGTCAGAATCTCCTGCCCTTGGTTTCCTCGGAGGTAGTGTAAGAGGACTGGACTACATTCCCTCCACCTCTAATACTCTATGATCTAGGTTGAAGGTTGGCAAACATTTTCTGTAGATTTCTGGAAATATTTACCAAGTAACTACTTGTAGACCATATAGTTTCTGTGGAAAATACTCAACTCTGCCTTTGTAACTCAAAGCTGACAGACAATATATAAACAAATCAATGTAGCTGGGTTCCAATAAGTTTATTTACAAAAATAGGTGGCAGGTGGAATTTGGTCTGTGGTGCATCACCTGCCAATCCCTAATCTAGATTTTAAATATCACATCATAATTACTGCTAGTAACTAAAAGACTAAAGCCATCAAGAAAAACGTTAAATTACATTAAGTATCATATAAGAAAGCAGAAAAGTAAATAGCATCCTTCCATCTTGGAAGGATTTCCATGAAAAATAATGAATGTTCAAATAGCTCAGGTTATACTTTATCTGAAAAATCAGTTGTTCAGAGACCAGGGGTTCCAGAAAACTAAGGTTGTTTTGTTTTTGAGAGAATTTCACTATGTTGTCCAGCATGGCCTTGAATTCCTAGGCTGCTGATCCTCCTGCTTAGCCTCCTGACTAGCTGGGACTACAGGAGCACACCCAGCATGCCCAGCTAAAGCTCAGGTTTTACTTACATTCACCAGCAAAGCAAAAACAAAGCAAAACAAAAAAGCAACAACATCAAATGAGTTAAAGACAAAACAGTATTATCAATATTTTAATTTGAAGTGAATATACTGCTGCTTTCTAAAAAAAATGTAGGTATGTCAGTAAGTCTTTAGGGAAGTTATGGTTGGAGTGATCCCTAAGCTCAGGTGATGGCAAGTAATGGAGTAATGTAGGAAAAAAGGTTACTTTCCAAGTCTGCTTATGCAAAAAAAGAACAATTTTAGGTAAGCAATAATTTTTTTTTTTTTTWATAAAGAGAGAGTGAGAGAGGAGAGAGAGAGAGAGAAGAGAATTTTTTTTTTTAATATTTATTTTTTAGTTCTCGGCGGACACAACATCTTTGTTGGTATGTGGTGCTGAGGATCGAACCCGGGCCGCACGCATGCCAGGCGAGCGCGCTACCGCTTGAGCCACATCCCCAGCCCCGGTAAGCAATAATTATGAGTCCCTAAGCACTTGCCCTATCTACGAAGATTTAACGTGTCATAGGGAAAAGAACAGACCAGTTCTAGTTCTGGTGTCATTAGCCAGCTGTGAGAGTGACTCCATTCCTTTCTCCAAGAAGCCCTCCCTAACACTAACCATATAATTTCTTCCTCTGCTATCCCTTATACCTTTCACTACTCTTGAGCCACTTAGTTATTAAATACTGCCCCATGTATGTGTATAATGTTTTATCAATCTTAAGGATACATACTAAAGGCATACCTTCATACTTCTGATTTAGATTCCTCACTAAGCTACATGCTACTTGAGGTCAAGACTGACTAGCTTGCATGTTTCTTTATGTCTTCACATTCCAAGAGCCTTAAATATAAATCTTAATTTCTCCATCCAAAAAGCAATATGTTAAATAATACCTCCACTAGTTCAAATTATATAACACTAAAAAATTAAAATTAAAGCTGTATTTTAGAGTATATGTTTTTATGTGAGTAGGTACTGTGTACTGAACCCAGGGTCTCTGGCATGGTGGGTAAACACTCTACCAGTGAGATACATCCCCAGCCCTTTTTTGGGGTAGGCAAATAGGCTTTATTCAAAGACAGTTCTGAAGGAAGTTGGATGAAACTTCATTGTTTCAAAAGTTCCATCTCCAAAGAGCTCTGGAATGAGAAAAGCTCCCCTCCCACACATTTTTTATTGGTACTTTATGGCTGTATATAATGATGGGATTTATTCTTACATATTAACACACGTACACATATGACAATATAATTTGGCTAATACTACCTCCCAGCACTTCCCTCCTAACYCCCCACCTCTAGCCCCTTGATTCCTTTCCTCTACTGATCTCCCTTTGACCTTCATGAGAAGCACCACCATCTTTCTTTTCCTTTTTCCTCTCTAGCTTCCACATGAGAGAAAACACACCCTTGATCTTCTGAGTTTGGCTTATTTTGCTTAATACAAGGTCTCTAGTTCCATCCATTTTCCTACAAATGACATAATTTCATTTTTCTTTATGACTGAATAAAACTACATTGTGGGGTTGTGGCTCAGTAGAAGAGTGCTCGCCTACCATGCATGAGGTACTGGGTTTGATCCTCAGCATCATATAAAAGTGAAATAAATATTGTGTCCACCTAAAAACTAAAACACAAAACAAAACAAAAAACAACAACATTGTGTTTGTTTGTATGCCACATTTTTTTAATCCATTCATCTGTTGACAGGCACCTAGGCTGGTTCCGTAGTTTGGCTGTTGTGAATTGTTACTATAAACATGGGTATGCCTCTATTACTGTACATAATGACTTTAGTTCTTTAGGATAAATAYTGAGTGGTATAGCCCTTTCTATTTTTATCTTGAGACAGGGTCTTGTTAAGTTGTCCAGGCTGGTTTTCAACTTGCAATCCTCTCCTCAATCCCCTAAGTAGCTGCAATTACAGGCATGAGCCACTGCACCCAGCTAGAATGTGGGTGTTGAACTGTCCAAATACTACATAAATAGATGTTTTTGTTTCTTTTAACCCTAGATGCTTTAAGGCTTCTAATTAAGTAGCTCTTTTAAACTGTTCCATACAAAGCCAAGTCTTCTAGAAAACTGAAAGACAATTTTATCTAATAATCGTCTCTTAAACAACAGAACTGAGCACCAAAAGGTATATTTCAACGAATTTAACATTCACATATATTGGACCTCCCCAAAACTACAACTTTGCTAATTGTTAAATTTAGATAATTAAAAACAGCCACATCAAAATAAATACTTACATCTGTAGTCACATAAATGCAACAGTTTTATTTGTAAAATTGCTGAAAAGAAAAATGCTATCACTACCAACAATTTCCACATGCAGAGAAACTAGACAAATCCTAGTTTGTTTTAATTAGTTAAGCAAGACTTGGTAAGTGGATATTAAAGGGTTCTTCTAGTGAGCCATTCCATAATACCTTTATTTTACTTATTTATTTATTTTATCTGGTGCTAAGGATCAAACCCAATGCCTCAAGTGTGCAAGGCAAGCACTCTATCATTGAGTCACAACCCCAGCCCTGCTATTCCTTTCTTAAGAAGTTGAAATCTGTGAATTAAAAGGTCTTTATTCATGGAATGTCTAAGATTTGGCATATGGAAACGTAATCAGATAGCTAAATATACTGGCAATTTACAACCTGTTGACATAAATGGGTGTGCAAATTTTTATAATCTAAATTATTGACCTGCATGTTTTTTCTTTACCCCAAATCATTCCTGACAGGTAGGCTCAATCTTTTTAATATCTGGATTACTGTTTCAATACAAGCCAAGAAAATAACTTTGTAGTAATCAAAATGTTACCCAACCATATATTGTTTACTTTGGTGTAAATACTGGTGAATAGTGGTCAATAGTTTTATATTCCTAAAAAACTAAAAAAACCAAAAACCAAAAACTCAATCTACTTAAGGCAACAGCTCTGTAAGGATACAGTGGTACATGCCTGTCATCCCAGCTACTTGGGAGGCTGAACCAGAAGGATCACAAGTTCAAGAACAGCCTTAACAATTTAGTGAGAGCTTGTCTTAACAAATAAAAAGGGCTGACGATTCAGCTCAGCAACAAAGTGTTCCAGGGGTCAATGCTTAGTACTGCCAAACAAACAATAGATTCAAGCAGTTAAACACATAATTAAATTAGAACATTAGGGCTGGGATTGTGGCTCAGAGGTAGACTGCTTGCCTAGCATGCGTGAGGCACTGGATTTGATCCACAGCACCACATTAAAAAAAAAAAAAAAAAAAAGATATTGTGTCCACCTATAACTAAAAATAAATATATTTTTTAAAAAAGATTATAACATAATCATTAAATAAAAAAATCAATCAAGAAATAGACAAAGCTGCACGTTTATTTTATTTTTTTGGAAGTTGTAAATGGACAGAATGCCTTTGTTTATTTTTGTGTGGGAGGATCAAACCCAGTGCCTCACACATGTTAGGCAAGCACTCTGTCACTGAACTATAGCCCCAACCCACAAAGCTGCATCTTTAAGTAAAATTTCATAAAAATTTTCAAACAAATAAAGAAAAAACAGAAGTCATTTTGAGAATATGGCTAGAATTTTAAAATACCCACTAGAATGTTGTACAATTGACTTAACAAATTTTCAGCAGATTCATAGATAGTTTTCTAAAAGTCCTTATTAAAATGTAAATATATTTGCTTTTTAAGCAATCATGAACTCACCTGTTTTAACTGACTCCGCCTTTTTGACAGAAGCATAATATTTTCATTAAGTAAATCCCATTCTTTAGCCTCATAGCACATCTTCACTACTGCAACTAAGATACGGGATGTAGAAACCATATCAGAAGCCTGCAAGAATGGAAATATATTAAAGGTAAAAGGGACAATGTAAGTGACACTAATGGTAATTGGGATTTTCACTATAATCTACTTACAGTACGTGTTTGTTTTTCTAAAGAGAGAAGGGTTTCAATAACTTCTTGAAGTCTTCCTTCCTAAAACAAAAGATAAAAATGAAAAACATGAAGATAACAATGAAAAATGACATCACCAATACAAACCAAATATATCTGACCCAAACTGAGATGTTTCTGAAACAGATGGAAAAAAACCCAAAGGCCTATTCTAGACAGGGGGAAAAAATCTACAATTATCTTGTTTCTCTCCATTTCATAATAGTGCTTACTTCTCCAGTGAATTCCTTAAGGCAGTGGTTCCCTACTTGGTTCCACAAGTATTCCTAAATATGTAGAGAAGCCTAAGGAAAACTAAACATATAACAACAATGATGTCTCACCTGAGAAAAACGCCAAGTTTTTATTTTGGATTCTAATTTATCAAACTCAAGGGTGGTGGCACATGTTTATCTTTGCATTAAGACTCTAGCTGGTAGTTGCAAAACACTTTGAAGAATAAAAAGGGGAAAATAATTGCTTTCTTTACAAACTTACTGTACAGATGTTTTAAAATATGGAGCTATGAGAATAAAAAAAAGATATTGGTGCTACAAAGATAGGAAGCTCTGGCTTAATTTTACAAGGATTTTCACTCCAGTACCAGGGATTGAACCAAGGGGTATTCTACTACTTAGCTACATCTTAAGCACTTTCTATTTTTTATTTTGAGACAGGGTCTTGCAAAATTGGCTAGGATGGCCTGGAACTTGCAATCCTCCTGCCTCAGTCTCCTGAAGTCACTGGGATTACAGGCATGCACTACCATGCCCAGCTTCAATGACTTTTTTTTTTTTTTAAATATTTATTTATTTTAGTTTTCGGCGAACACAACATCTTTCTTTGTATGTGGTGCTGAGGATTGAACCCGGGCCGCACGCATGCCAGGCGAGTGCGCTACCACTTGAGCCACATCCCCAGCCCCTTCAATGACTTTTAAAAATAAATTAGTAATCATGCTTACAGGGAAAGACCACATAAGAATACCTATACCTGCTAAAGTGAAAGTCGATGCTCTCAAGCAGATATTGACCCAACTGAATACATYCCTTTATGTCAACTGATAATAGCCTCTCCACACCTCTAGCATATACAAAAATAGAACATTCCCCCTGGTACATACTTTAAGAAATAGCAATTAAAAATTCAAATAGTATAAACTAAACAATACACCAGGACTAAAACAGATCATTTCATCAGAAACCATACATTTTGATTAAAAAAAAAACCCACAGCACAAAAACTGAAATGATTAAGATATTCATATCAATAACAATTATGTACACAACTCTGCCAATGAACTGGAAACAATGAGTCATTAAAAGTTTTTTGAATTTAAAAATTGTTTTTCAAACAATAAATGAAAAACTTAATGACATTCATAAATGATGAAAGAAACTACAAGAGTTTTTTTAATTAAGGGTCTAAATAATGTTTGAACTTTTCAAAATACTGCAGACAAGTTTTAAACTATGTATTTTCTCTTCTGTTTTTGGTGGTGCTGGGGATGGAACACAGGGTCTTGTGCACACTAAGCACACTCTACACCGTGCTGAACCACACTGCAAGGCTAAACTGTGTATTTTCTATGCAGCACAGAATATGTACTGCACAACTACTGCCTGAACTTACTTTAAATCCAAAACCTGCATATTAACATATTTTAGCAACATTTCCTATGCAAAGGGAAACCCTAAAGAATCATATTCAGAAAACGCTGGCCAAATGTTCATCAGAAGAACAATGAATAAATCTATAAATTTTCCAAAGTTGAAGGCTAAAAAAAAAAAAAATCTTAAAAAAAAAAAATCAAACAATCGTAGGACTAGAACGACTGCTAGAGATTACTTAATGCCATCCATTCACTTCAGAAATTAAAAAGGCTGAGAACTAGTTTAAGTGAGTTGGCTCAGTCACAGTGTATTAGCAGAACCAGCCTCTTCCCTCCCAGCCCCATGTTCCCTCCACTACACTGCAATGCTCCCCCAACATACTAGTTGAAATCATGCTCTTTGTTTTTGATCAAAGTAATCTCCACAGGGAAATGGATGATATCTGGAAAACAAAGTATAAAAATTCAAATGCAAAATACTTCTTGTTTACTGATAGTCACATGTCACATTTACAATTGCTGTGATTATGTGACTATGATATAAAAAGTATACTTTATTATATGGTATTCTAATTCAGAAGCACGGGTACTGCCAGGTGCCATGGCACAAGGCCTGTAATCCTGGCTACCTGGGAGGTGCAGGAGGATCGCAAATTTGAGGATGGCCTCAGCAAATTAATGAGACCCTGTTTTAACCCTTGCCTAGCACGCACAAGGTCTTGGATTCAATCCCCAGTACCTCAAAAACAAACCCAACACATACAAAAGCATGGGTCCTAAAGAACTGCACCCCATAAGGGAGGGAGTCAGACTACTCTAAAGCCATGGCCTTCAGCATCAACAAGACATTAAATATCATCTTCTCGGAGAGGTGTTCTTGGCCAAGGCTCTGTAAAATCAGCAATCATTTAGCACCTCCTTTGACACTCAATCTTACTGACTTTCTGCTTTGCAATTACCCCAAATTATATTCTATTAATATTTACTGTCTTAGTACTCTCACTAGAATGTAAACTCTAAGAGCAGTGACCAAGTCTCTGTTGTTGTAGCTCAGTGGGCCACTGCATCACCAACCAAGCACCTAATGCTGCGTCTGCAGATATTATGATATATCCCTTAAAAAAAAAAAAAAACTTTTTAAAAATAGTTATAGATGGACAAAATACCTTTATTTATTATGTGGTGCTGAGGATCGAACCCAGTGCCTCACACGTTAGGCAAGCGCTTTATCACTCACTGAGCCCCAGCCCGGGCCTTGGTATACCCTTTTATATAGTTTTGGTGGGGTGAGCAGTACAGAGGACTGAATCCAGAGATGCTCTAATAACTGAGTTACATCCCCAGCCCTTTCTAATTTTTTTATTTTATTTAGGGACAAGGTCTCACATTGCTGAGGCTGGCCTGAAACTTGTGATCTTCCTGAGTGGCTGGCCAACCTTTTATACCTTTTAGCAGATTTTTTTTTTCTTTTTGGTGGTGCTGGGGATTGAACCCAGGGCTTTGTACAATCAAGGCAAACACTCAACCAACTGAGCTATGTCCCCAGTCCCCAGAATTATTAATGTATGTATTTCACCAACTTAGAGGTTTATAAGTTTCATTAGGCCCGGATCCTTGTTTAAATTAAATTGTTGCTTTCCTTAAAACAACTTGCACATAGTATGTATTGGTTCAATGGATGGACACTGACCTGAACTACTCAGTTGATATAAAAGTATGGGTACTAAAGAACTGCACCCCATATGGAGTCAAGACAATTGTTGATTTTTACTGTCAAAATAAGGACAATGTACAAGTTATATGGCTGTTAATTTAATGCTATTTGAGGAATACCACCAAAAATTTCAAATCATCCCACTTTATTTTCCCAATTTTCAATATTCAACCCTATGGTTAAATGACTTCCTCCTTCCTGTCTATTCACAAAGCTCCTGAAATTCTACTTCCGTGATGCTGCCTTTCAACTCATAGGGAACAAAAAGGCTATAGCCATCCAAAACAAACTTGTTAGAACATGCGGGTTCTATGACTCATTCTTCTCACTAAAATAATCCTTGTAAATGAGGTAAATGACTAATAAGTTTGCTGAACATCAATGCATGTTGGATATCTGTAAAGTTTGTATGTTTGCCTCCTTCAACTCCTAAATGGATCCAATCTGTTAATGATTTGTTAAACAACCTAAACAAGAAAAGGGCTAATAACACAAACAGCTGAAACTTAAAGTCAAATGACCTATTTCTACAAAAAGTAAACTGTTTAACAATTTCACCTCCTCTTCACTGTTAATATTAACCTTGAGAAGCTGTATGTGACCAAAAGAAATGATAAGACATTAAGGGGAAGGAGAACCGAAGGATATAGTATTCAACTTAAGAATGTAAGTAGTCCCCAGATAACCATGTCAAATATACCAAAATGAAGAAGAGAATGGAAAACCCTTTGTGCATGAAGAGCTGCCAAAACCTTATCTTTATAGTTCAGAAAAGGCCCACTTTAATTGTTAACTCCTCAATATAAGGAGGACAGATAACCATCAAGAACTAGTATCACTTTTATAATTTTATCTACCTGACAGTGTTCCCCACAATGCCAAAGAAGCATTAGAATGAAATGGCTAAAAATAATGCTCGGGTCTACACTGATCTACTTACTACCTTGCACTTCGTCAAAAAACTTATACCTCTTGACCTTCAATTCTTCAGAGAAATAAGCCTACTAACAGCATCCTCTCCATAGAACTGATACAAGAATTAAATCAATAGTTATAAAGATATTCCTGGAATATAGTATGTACGGCATTATCATAGTAGCTAACATTTTTAGAAACTTAATACAGCAATAAAAACCAGTTATTGTTATTTGCTAGGCAGGTCAGTATGTAGACACAGAATTGTAGATTCAAATGGCCTAGACTTGGCAATTTTACTACTAAGGTCTAGACTTTAGTTTGCTTTTTTTAAAGCTTCTGCTATGTAAGGTTTTTCTCACCTAAAATATTCTTTTTTTTTTTTGTACTAGAGATTGAATTCAGGGGTACTTGACCACTGAGCCACATCCCCAGCCCTATTTTGTATTATTTAGAGACAGGACTGAGTTGCTTTTAACTCGTGATCCTCCTGTCTCAACCTCCAGAGCCACAGGGATTACAGGCATGCACCACCAGGCCCAGTACCACCCCACATATATTTTTTTTTCAGCTGTAGGTAGATGCAATACCTTTATTTTATTTATTTATATGTGGTGCTGAGGATTGAACCCAGTGGGTAGTCTAGTGCTCCACCACTCTACAGCCACAACCCCAGCCTAATCACCTCATATATTCTTATTAAGTTATACCAACAATTTTTATCTTCAAATGTCTTCCACAATTAAAATAAAAATTGTCTGAAGGAAAGTAAGTGCAAATTGATGATCCCTTAAAGAGGTGTGAAATACTGCAAAAAGAACTCTATTCCCATTGCTAGGAGACCTGAGCTCGCATAAACCATGTGAGCTGCCTGAACTCTATCTTCTTACCAGTGAAATAACAAAACTTCCTTCAGAGTTTTTATTGATGGATTAAAAAATAAAAATAAAAAGAATGTATTGGGGCTGGGGATTTAGCTCAGTTGGTAAAGTGCCTGCCTAGCATGCATAAGGCCCTTGGTTCAATCCCCAGCATCACCAAAAACGAAAACAAAAACAAAAAAGAAAAAGAAAAAGAATATATGTTAAAATGTTCCACACATTCCAGAGTAGAGTAGAAATGCAGTGTCACTTTTCTTTCTCTTCTTTTCTTCAGAAGTACTGGGGACTGAACCCAGGACTGTATGCATGTTAGGCAAGTGCTCTACCACTGAGCTATATTCCCAAACCTTTTTATTTTATTTTATAGACCCTGCCCTCGAATTTGCAATACTCCTGCCTCAATCTCCCCAGTAGCTGGGATTACAGGCATGCACACCCACATCTGGTTAAAAAAATAATTAAAAAATTTTAATGTTTGGCAGAATCATTAAAAATTAACATAAAATGGGGGCTGAGGTTGTGGCTCAGCAGTAGAGCGCTTGCCTATCATGTGTGGGACCCTGGGTTTGATCCTCAGCACCACATAAAAAATAAATAAGTAAAGGTATTGTGTCCAAATACAATTAAAGAATAAATATTAAAAACAATTCATATAAAAATTAACATAAAAATGAATAATATGAAAATCAGAGTAACCTAATTTATGCCTTTAATTTTACCTAGTGTAGTAGGCCCAAACATTCTTTGCTAAAAAAACTTTCTTTACTTATCTAACACCAAAGACCTTTGAGTGAGCACGTCTTTTCCACTGTCTTGAACCTAACAATGTCCTAAATGAAGACTACATATACGATCATTAGAACAACTGTGGCAGTGAGGCTTTTTTCCCTTACCATTCTAAAAGCTCTCTGACCACAAGAGCTCTAATATCTTTATACTTCCCAGATCTAACTCTAGCTAGGTTTTGCACAGTGCAGGCTGTTATCAGAAGAAATTGGTAAAGAGAAAATTTTTTTCCCCTCCCAGTCTCAGTTGCACTTCTCCTAAAGCAAATAATTTGTTTCTTATTTATGGACACTATCATTCTATGAATTCCAAGCAGAGGTGCAGATGGTGATTTGATACAATGTCTCACTAACTTGCCCAGGTTGGCCTTGAATTTTCAATCCTCCTGCCTCAGCCTCCAGAGTAACTGGGATTAAAGTCTTGTGGCACTGCCCAGCTATCCACATTAGATATTAGATAGCCATATCTAAGCATTAAGGTATTTCACATAGAAATCCATATTCCTGATTTCTCCCTCAAATTACCAGCATTGGTAAAGATCCATCTTCATCCTTAAATGGCAAATATCAACTCAAGATGGAAAATTGTTCCTCTCCCTGGGAAGTGCTCAGAAGTTCAGGTTCCTACTACATTTGACTCAATAGGTGAAATAAGATAGGAAAGAGCACAGCTTTAGAATTGGTCTATGGATTTGCATCCTGGTCCCACTACTCTATTAGCTGTATGATCTTGGGGTATGTGACTCAACTTTCCCTAGCTTCAGTTTCCTTGTTTGTAAAATAAGAGTAATAGTAATACCTATCAAATAGGGCTGAAGTGAGGATCAAATGAGTTTGTGTATGTAAGCACTCAGCAAAGTGCCCAGCACTATAGAAAGGACCTAATAATTGCTAATTGCTGGCAGCTCTTATTCGCCTGAAAATGTAGGCATTTTAATTTCTCCACCCTTATGAATAGATGTTTCTTTACACTACCTGGTGGAAAGCTCAGGGACAAATTTATGGCTACCCCTCAACAAGCATACCAAACCTAGTTAATACAGGCATATCAACTTCATCTCTCTCCACCCTTGCTTTTTAAAAGTCCTATTAAAGCCAGGCGCGGTGGCGCATGCCTGTAATCCCAGCAGCTTGGGAAGCTCAGATAGAAGAATCTTGAGTTCAAAGCCAGCGTCAGCAATTTTGAGGCATGAAGAAACTCAGTGAGATGCTGTCTCTAAATAAAATACAAAATAGGGCTGAGGATGTGGCTCAGTGGTCGAGTACCCCTGAGTTCAATCCCCAGTACCCCCCCCCMAAAAATCGTATTAAAATCATTATCCTAAGAAAAGCATTAAAAAGGCTTCCATAAGAATTAAATGTGATGCACTGCTTGACACTCCCCTTGCCTATGAATTCATTACACTGTAACATTCTTTACAATAAGTTTCTTAAGGAACAAAAACAATATTCAGTGAAGGCATCCCAGGTGAACAGTAATACATGTTTGTGGCTGAATTGATCTCCGAGGACTGGGTATAATTCTTAGCAACAGTCCCTGATGGAGTTGATTCTGCTGCAACCAATCCCTATGAGTCACACCTAAATTCTGAATCCTAGATTCTGCCTATTACTAACCTTGGACACCTAACTCTTGAATCTTGTATTATGTGAAATAATTATACACAAAGTTGCATGACACAGCACAGGGTGTCAAAATGTTTGGACCAAGTTAGTTTCTCTTCCATGGTAGAGGGGTTGGGGGTGTAGCTCAGAGACGTAGCATATGCAAGCCCCTGGGTTCAATCCCCAGTACAGCAAACCAAACAAACCAAACACACACATGCGATTCCATGGTAGATAAGCATGTGGGCTATTGTTCATCATCTCCCTAATGGGCACTCTACCATTCAGCTACATCCCCAGCCCTTCAGTGCCTGCCTTTCTTCCTTCCTGTACTTCCCTAAGAATGACTCCTCCCTATCTCGATCTTACTACTTACTAAGGTTCAGTACAAATGTCAGCTTCTCCCCTGCGTGTTCCAGTGACACTTTACACTTGTAGAGCTCACCATCATGCATGACGTGACTAATTCGTTACATACAGGCTCGCCGTTAAGTACAGGGGTCCTAGGCTTGTCATCTTTGCACTATCACTTTCCTTCTCCTCCCGGTCAAAGACCGGCACATTGCCAGGATTGACATAAATTCATTCGGTAATAGCAATAAAACCAAACTCTCTAGCCTGAATGCTGAAGCGACCTTCACCTCTGCAAAATTCTACACGCAACGTTACTTAGAGCATTCAAGAAAAGGTAGAAGGTACAACCGGTCCCCACTTGTACAGGGAAGAAGTGACCACCTGTCGGGGAGTCTGGGAAGCTGTAAGCATTGGCGTCCTCTGGCTGCGGAGTCTCTCGGTGGCGGGGCAGACTTGGGGTCTCCCACCCATGAAGGCCTCACCCGGGCTGGGCAGGCAATAGGGGATGTGCGCTCCAGCCCGCAGGCCCCCTGAGGCCTAAGCGGGCTCGGCGCCGTGACTCAGCCCCTGGCGCCCGCCAACAGCCAGCCGGCCTCCCCTCACCTTGGCCAGCTTCTCGCACTCGGGCAGGCGCTGATCCACCGTGGCGCTGTAGTCCACCTCCATCTTGACGATGCGCCCATCAGCCCGCTCCGAGCCGCCGTCCGCCATGGTTCCAGCCTAAGAGTCCCCTGATGTCCCCCTGCTTCGGCCACCACTCGTCACCCACACCGGAAGCCGCCCGCGCACTCACTCAGGCAGTGCGTCGGGAGCCCGCTCCAAGGACCCCGCAAGGCCCCCTTCTCCGGCCGCCAGTCAGGCGCTACCGCGGACAACCCTGGGGGCGGAGCGTAGGGCGAGGGGGCGGGGCTCGCCTCCCGCTCCTACCGCCGACGTCTTGTTTTGTGCTTGGTAACGTCAGACTTTTCATCTGAAATTCGTGCTTAGGAAAGCGAGTGTAACAGAGTGGCACATCCCAGGTCTTCTCACACCCCTGCTTCGAATTATAAATTTCTCGGAATCGCGGGCAAGTCACTTAACTTTTCTCGGATCTCGGTTTTTGTCATTTGCGCGCGAGGAGCCTGAAATAAACCCTCCAGACAGAAGTTGTAGGGTTGTATCTGGTCGAGAATCTTGGCGACTTAATCTGTGGGTTTCCTGGTGGCTAATAGGGGAAGATATGGCAGCGGTTTAGTGATACAACACAGTGCTTTTTGTTTTCGTTTTCACTCTAACCCACTACGTAGGAGGAATCATTAGACATTTTCTTTGTTATCCTCTTATGAACATCAAACTAGRTAACGTGTGTGAGTCTACTTCAATTCTAAGGGCCGTGCAAGTTTTATTTGTTATCATCTGCATCCCCTGGGTCCATATAAAATAGCTTAGGATCCTAAAAAAATTTAATGAGGTTGTATAGAGTATGGTCATATGGTCAACAGTAGCCAGGGGGGAAAAATGAGAAATTCTGGGGTATTCTCTTTTAGTAAAGATTCTCAGTTTAATTCGTGTCAATATCCCTTTATATATTCTGAATAGAACTTAATTTAATCTCTTGCAATGACAATCATGAATAATATGACCCATCTATAAACGAAACAAGATAATACTGTAGCAGTGATGTAAAGAGAAATAAATTTTAAAGTACTAAAATATGTCCAAGGTTTTGGGTTCCATCCCCAATAATGCAGAATAAAACAAAACAATAATGCTGGGTGAGTGGAATTACAGGCGTGCACCACCTTACCTGGCTCTACTTGCCTTCTTAAAACAGCTACTTGAATGTCCAAGAGACACCTGAAACATACAACCCAGCTGCTTTTCTTTCCCTCTGGCCTTGCTTCTCCCTGAGGATATAACTCGGTGGTAGAGCACTTGCCTGGCATGTACAAGGCCCTGGCTTCAGTCTCCAGCAAAATATAAAGAAAGGAAAATTCAAACAAGTAGTCATCTTTTTGCACCCATACCCCAAAACAATAAATTTAAAAACTGCCTATGGATGCCTCAAGCATCATAAAGTCCTGCAATTGGCAATGTGATTTTTCCAAAATCCTGAATAACTTCTTTGTAAAGCTCTATGTCAAATAAAAAAAGTAGTCTTCCTTTTTTTTATGCAGAAGAAATCTTGGAAATTTTAATTCACATTTAAAAATAGCTTAGTGTATGTAACGCCAAATTAGACATAAGTGCCCGGTGGGACATTGAAAAATCTGATGGAATGTAGGACAATATTTTTACTGTTTTTTTTTTTTTTTTTTTTGTGTGTGTGTGTGTGTGTGTGTGACACTGGGGATTGAACCTAGGGGAGTACATCCCCAGGTCTTTTTAAAAATTTGAGACAGGCTGGGGCTGTGGCTCAGCGTTAGTGCGCTTGCCTGGCTTGCATGAGGCACGGGGTTTGATTCTCAGCACCACATACAAATAAATAAAATAAAGGTCCATCAACAACTAAAAAATATTTTTAAAAAATTTGAGACAGATTCTTGCTAAGTTGCTCAACCTGGTCTTGAACTTTCGATCTTTCTACCAGAGCCTCCCAAGTAGCTGGGATTACAGGCATGCGATACCATGCCTGGCTAAGGACAGTATGTTATTGTGTAGGCTTATTGCATTACAGGCTGCCTAGCATCTCAGGTACATGCTAGCTCCCTTTCCCGCCCCAATGATGTGCCACCTCCACATTCCCCTACAAATTTCCAAACATATTCTGGGGGTCTGTGTTGTTGAGACATATTAGGCTAAGATGCTGTCTCCGTATTCTGTGTTAATTTTTTTTTTTTCCTTTTTACCAGTACTGGGAAAGAATCCCAGAACCTTGCACATGCTAGGCAAGTAAGTGCTCTACCACTGAGCTACATTCTCATCCAGTTTAAAATTTAAAAAAARAAAATAATTTTTGAGACTGGGTCTTGCTAAGTTGCCCAGGCTGGCCTTGAACTTGCAGTCCCCCTTCTCAAACTCCAGAGCAGCTGGCATCACAGGTGTGCAACACTGCTGCTAGGTGAAATTGGTTTGATTAAAGTAGACAAAAGGATCTGGTAATGTGATTTTTGTGTGAAAGTTTTGAGAAGTCAAAAAGTAACAAGAGAGGGAGTAGGCAGATTTATGGTTCCCAGAACTCAAAAAATAAGAGTGAGCCGGAGGTCGAAGAGGCAACTAGGAAATTGAGAAAACTCTAGATGGCTTCCAAACCAAACTTAAGCTCTTCCTTGCTAGGCTTTGAGGTAACAGAAAATAAAAAGCGATTTGAAATCTAAGGAAACAAGAAGTTGAAACAGTTAAGTTGATAAAGAGGGAGCTCGGTAGAAAATCTGAGCAATGGTYAGAGAATTGAGAGTACTGTATGATAGATGCATTGTGAATTCTTTATTTGAACGAGTCTGATTAAATTTGTGGCTTTGTGAGGAAGAAGTTGGTTTCAGAAGAGAAAAATTGGCTATGGAGAAATAAGGTATCTAAAAGACGGGGGGGGGTGCTGATTGGAACAAGCAGTTTATTCAGAAAAAAAGGCAAAATGAATATTGCAATACTCATTAAAAATGATATGCCCACATATTAATGACAATGTTTGGTGTATTTTTCGTATTTGGCATTTCTGGCACATTCAGCTTATGGGCTGACTGACCCAAGGTTCCTGCTTTTGTGAAGTGAACATTCTCATGGGAAGATAGAAAATAAACCTGTAAATACGTGCTGGGGTGGAGAATTGATAAGCACTTGGGAGGTGGTCAAGGAAAGCATCACCAGTGAGCCCAGACTGGAAATGAGGGGGGTGTGTCTTGCAAACATCTGGAGGATGAAGATGCTAAGAGAGGCTACAGCAGGTGCAAGAATCCTCAGGTGTGCACAACCAGAACCTGCCTGGACCCAGGGAAGGTGAACAAGGAGGAGGAATTGGTTTTCATTCTGAGTGAGATGACAAACCACTGGGGTTTAGAGCAAAGGGGAGACTTGAGATGACTTAACATTTCAAAGACTAAGTCTGGCTGCTGTGTGATGTCTAGATTGGGGCAGAAGTTGGGAGACTAGTTGGGAGGTTATTGCAGTAATCCAGGAGGAAAATGATGGTGATATGGACTAGGGCAGAAGCAGTGGAGGGTAAGAAGTGGCTGGATTCTGGATATATGCTGAAGATAGAGCCACATTAGGATTTGCTGATGGACATTGAGAGGAGAAAGGTTAAACATGTCTGCAAGATTTTGGCCTGAGTGTCTGGAAGGATGGAGTTGCCATTTACCATGACACAGCAGATTAGGGAGAAGCAAGGCTGGAGGGACAGAAAAACAGCTCGGTTTTGGATATATGTTTGAGGATCTCTTGGATATTTAAGTAACCGTTTTAAGAAAGCAAGTAGAGAGCCAGGTGCCGTGGCGCATACCTTTTATCCCAGTGGCTTCGGGGGCTGAGATAGATAGGAGGATTGCGAGTTCAAAGCCAGCCTCAGCCAAAAGCAAGGCACTAAGCAACTCAGTGAGACCCTCCCTGTCTCTAAATAAAATACAAAAAAATAGGGTTGGGGATGTGGCCCAGTGGTTGAGTGCCTCTGAGTTCAATCCCCAGTACCAATCAACCCCCAAAAAGACAGCAAGTAGAGCCAGGTAAGGTGGTGAATGCCTGTAATACCAGTTACCCAGGAGCCTAAGGTGGGAGGATTGTGAGTTCAGAGCCAGACCAGGCAATTTAGTGAGCTCTTGTCTCATTAAAAAAAAAAAAAAAAATCCCACTAAACCATAAAGAGAAAGGGCTGAAGGATTCCTGAATTCAAAGGCTAGTACTGAAAATAAAACAGAACAAAATAGGCAAGTGGATGTGTATCAGTTTCAAGCTAAGGAAAGTCATTGGGCTAGAGATTTGGAATTGGCAGCCATTGCTATATGAATGGTATCTAAAGCCACGAAGCTAACTAACATTACAGAAATGTTCCTGAAATGTTGTGTATAAACATTTGTTTTTATAAATTGCCCATCTTAAAGGTAGCTAGGGGAATTGCTGTTTTCAAGACTGTTGTGAATTATTTTGTATGAAAAACTACATTATATTTTACCTTTGGAGTAAATCTCTTGGTCCTGTGTTGGAATTGCTTCCTGCCAGATGCAATTAAGAGTCCCAGACTATGATGGTTCAACCTGATTTTTTTTTTCACTTTGCAATGATGTGAAAGCAATATACATTCAGTAGGAATCACACTTTAAATTTTGAGTCTTTATATTTTCCTGGGATATCAACATGCTTACCCAAGAATCTTGTGATACTGGACAGGACCCCTGCTAGTCAGCACTTAGATCACAAGGCTGAAAAACCATAGTTTAGGGTGGGCTGTGATGCTACCCTATGATGTTTGGTAAGTTAGGTATATAAATGCATTTTTGACTTAAGGTATTTTCAATGGATTATGGGTTGATTGGGACATAACTCCACCAGAAACCAAGGAGCATCTGCCTAACAACTCAGAGTTACTATATTCCTTCCCTTTTGTTGCTGTAACAAATTAGTGCCTTAAAACAACAGAAATTTATTTTCATGGAAGTCCAAAACCAGTATCACTAAGCAAGATTGAGGTGTGGCACAACCATGCCCTCTGGAGGCTCTAGGAGACAACCATTCCTTGCCTTTTCCAGCTTTTGGTGGCTGCCAGCCTCCCTTGGTTTGTAGCTGCATCACACCTTCATGAGCACATTACCTCTTTCTGTGAAGAGGAGATCTTCCTCTGGCCCTCTCTTTCATAGACACTTGTCATTATTTTCAGGGCCCACACAGATAACCCAGATTAATCACCTCA